CGATTATCATCCATCATCATATCTCCTCTTGCATTATGATTCACAAATCGTTTTCAAGATTCGTACACCGTTTAATTTCCTAGTGCTCTACTTGTGCTCTCAATCCGTATTCGTAGAATTGGATTTTTGTGAAAATATGTGTAATCATAACATCGACAATATTTGCTACGTATCACTCCTATTATTCGTAACTCTGACTTTTTGCAAAAACGTTATCCGACTATAAAGAATAATTAGAAAAGAAGCAAAGATAATTACTAGATTATTTAGTCGTTTATTTTTAGGTTTATACATTTGATCAATCAAAATTGGCGTGAAAGAGAGTTATTGTGGCATGGTCAGTCGTTAATTACGTAGCATGTTCTCAGATCGAAAGGATGTCAAAACCTTACCTGGATTAAAATGGCAAGATTAGGCACACTTTGTTGAACCCTTCGCTTTATGGTCATCCTCAATAGGCTTTAATTATAGAAAGGCCTTCTAAGTGTTTACCTTCAAAATTAACTGTGATTTACATCAACTCCAACTGTTGTCTGTGACAACCAGTCCTCCATGTGTAGAGAATGAGATTTTTTGTTAGCTCAATATTAGTCGTAAGTTGTGGACTACCAATAAATTTCAACACAGTCTGAACTTATTTATAACTTAATTGAGCGTTAGAGGACACTTTGATTGAAAAACATATGTGAATCATGATCTAATACCAAGAAAAGAATGTTTCTATGGAGGTTTGCAAATGATTACTTTCTTGAATTTTCACTACATAATAAACAACCGATAGATGTTCCTAAAACGTGCTACTCAATTATTTGTTTTGACATCTGAATAATCTACGTAATAATAGTTAAAATAAAGTAGATTACTAACAAATTCTCTACGGAACATATTCCTGAATTTGTTTTCTTTTTATAGTATTGATGTCTAAAGAAAGAAAAAAAGAGAAGAAAAGAATACAATACAACCCTCAAAAGCTCGATGAAGGTATCAAAATAGAACCCGTTTTGTGGTTGTGTTTGATTCCCATGAACTTGATTCTCGAACCAACATATATGTTCCTATACATCTCAATCGCATACAATGCCCTTCGTCCTTTCCTTAACGACAAAACCCCTCTTCGCTTCATTCCGAAAAGATAGATACAATCTTACTATATCTTATTTGCCACGGTTCTCACATTCTTATCCTTGATTAAAGAAAACGACACACGACACAATTACATCTTTCTTTAGGAGAAAACCAACACAAAACACACAAATATCATTCGAAGATCATCACGTTACATGTATAAAGATAAAAAAAAAATGTTAGAGCTTAGATTTATTGATTTTAATAATATAAGTCAATCTCAAAGTGGGGTTTTCATGAAAACTTTTAACTATGAACATGTACTGAAGCATATTTGTAATTTATAACGTTGGTTGAATATCGAGCCTCCTATGTAGAACTTCTAGTCAAATACGAGTCTTAAACACGAGTGAATCATAGTACTAGAGTTGGAAGTTTGTTTTCAAATGTGTATTAATTTCATACTTTTGTCTTCTTAAAAAAAGCAATATAAATATTCTTGTTCTGAATTTTGATTATTGTGAATTGTAATGGATTAAATATGTCAAGATGATCCAATGTAAAACTAAAGTAACTGAATAAAACAAAAAGCCGGACTGTAAAATACATTAACGAATAAGGAGTGCCTCAAAACCATATAGGGTGTACCTAGGAACTGTATTGTGCATGATATAGAGCCTAAAACCATATGGCGTACGGTCTTGAGCCATAAAGTCTACAAACAGAGTCACCTTGAAGGTTATCGGGTCAACTGACCCAGTCAAATCTTTTTAAAATCTCATTTTTACCTTTCCAAAAATTTTGTTACCCTGATTCTCCTTAGATATTTTTTGACCGACCCCATTGCTAATTGTTCTTGTTATATATTTTTTTATCTCTTAAAAAGTTGTTGCTAATTGTTGTTCCATTTTCTGTTTATTGATTATTTTGTTACCGTTACTTGTTTTTGTATTGTTTTGTTAAATCCATCTCAATTTCTTGTTATTTTAGCTTAAAATAAACCCACATGTTAATTACTCCATATGCTCAAACCAATTGTCAAAAAGTAAAACATATAAAATTTTAGTATAATTTGTTATTCGATTTAATCAAAATAGTAATAATTTAACTGAAACTAAACCAAATATGGTATTATTATTCTGTTAACAGAGCTATTTAATCCGAAAACCAAGTAACCTGAAACCATTTTGGCTTGGGTGGGTTAATTCGATTTCAGAAAATTTTCGATACCCAAAATATGACCCCAGTCAACTAAGTTTTTAGACCTGCAACTATCTATGACCCACTCTGTTGTTCCAATTAATTCGGCTTTTATTAAACTTGTGACAACTTCTAATCGTTTTTTAGGACTTGTATGAACCATATACATCATGCATATTGGCAATTGATTTTTATTCTTGCAATTTGGTCAATGTTTGACTTTTCCTAAACTTGTGACAACTTCTAATCGTCTTTAAGGACTTCTATGAACCATATTCTATCATGCATATTGGCAATTGGTTTGTATTCTTGCAATTTGGTCATTGTTTGACTTTTCCTAAAAAGTCCAACTATACTATCTTTCTCTAAAATCGCACTTATTTGTGATCCTTATTGTAAACTAAACATATGTTCCTGTTATTCATCATCAAAACAATAATTTCATACGAAATGTTACTATATTTACAGTGCATCTTCTTTCACGGTATTTTGTACAAAAAAACATAAGATCTCACTAAGCCGTATCGCTTACGCAACGTATATGTATAGATCTCATATATCGTGACAATAAGCATACGTCTTAATTAATATGCAAGAAAGTGGTAGTAAGTGGTCCTAAACCCTAACCACGGTCTTAATTAATAGGTGGTCATTGTCAACAAGGTTGAGCAAGATTAAGTTTTCCATTACAATATATCATGCGAAATTCAAGAAAAACCCTATATGAGAATATGGTTTTCTCTTAGCTACGAGCAGTAATACTTCTGGATTGCTATCTGTTAGCAATTATAAATGCATCTGCATAAACCTGTAATGATAAAAGTAATCGATTTATTTTGCATGATTAATAATTTTGTATTAATTTCCGAAAAAATTGAGAGAAAATATATGTTTTTGGTGAGGATAAGAGGGAGCGAGGAAAGACGTGCAGCCATTGTGAGCCTCCAGGAAATTGGTTAAAGGATCACATTTTTAATGTTCATACAAAGAGCACTGGTTTACTCAAGTACTTGAGGATGATGACAAATCCATATCTTGGAAAAATTCCCATTTGCTTTCTATTTGTGTCTATCCATATATCCTTTTTTAAATTATAAATCTTTAGATATATATATCTATACTATATTATGAAGTATTTGATAAAAACTCTTAAAAACCATTATTTTGTACATGAAGTATTGTTTATTGATGCATATTACGTAAAATTTATGATTACAAGTAAATTGTGTATACGTATAACTTATTAAAGCTTTACGTTTGAATTCGTGTAACTAACTGAATTAAAGAAATTACACAAAAAAACAGGAACTTCTAAATAGTTAATTTGATACTAATATCGATATATTTTTTTTTTCAAAATTTTATAATATTTTCAAATTTATATTTTATTCAAAAATAAAAACATTATTGTTTTCTCAAAACCACATAAAATTGTATTATAATATCGATACAAAACAAAATAAAATGAAACATTAAAATCGAGATGTTTCTCGTTGCATTGCACGAGTATTATTCTAATATGTGTGTGTGTATGTATGTGTGTGTGTATATATATATATATATATATATATATATATATATATATATATATATATATATAGGGGACCATTTAAGAAAGAACTGACTAGTCTGTGGTAACCGTGAGATCCAATCTCAACCACAAATCAATAGATAAATTAAGAAATTTATAATTTTGGTAATTTTGAATTAAAATTTTAATGCAAGGACATTTTAGGTATTTTAAAACTCTTCTTTTTCCTCTCTTCTCTTTCCTCCCCCCTTTCTCCGGCCACCGTCCTCCGGTGATACCACAATGGTATCACAATGCATCATATATATGTTTGGGTATCACACTGAGGTCGTTTGTGTGGTCGATCGGAGATGTAATACAGTGGTATCACAATGCATCTTATATATGATTGAGTATCACACTGTGTCTTTTGTTTAACAGAGTTAATATTTTCAGGTATCACATTGGTATCACCGGAGAACGGTGGCCGGAGGCCGGAGGACGGAGAGAGAAGAGAGGAGAGAAAATACCTAAAATGTCCTTGCATTAAAATTTTAATTTCAAAATTATAAATTTCCTAATTTATAATTGATTTGTTTTTGAGATTGGATCTCACAGTTACCACAAACTAGTTAGTTCTTCCTTGAATGGGCTCATATATATATATATATATATATATATATATATATATATATATATATAAATTATATTACTTTTGTATAGTTAGATAGGTTTCATTTTTTAAGTAGAGATTCTTAAATCACGTATTAAACTATGGATTTAAGAATATGAAACTTTTAAATAACCATAATAAATGGTATATTTTATATCATCTAACAAATTTGTAGGATTAAGTGAAGGTTTTTAGTTTCTTTTTTGTTTTTGCCTTTTTGTCTTATATAATTCGGGTTGGCTTTATTTTAAGGTGATGCTACTTACAGAAGCACTTGTTTTTTTTACGTTTTTTTAGTTTTTAATAAATCGTTTGTTTTTCGGAAAAAAAAATAAAAAAAATTGTTGTTTGTTGTTTATAACAAATACTTTATTTATATTAATATTTTCATTTTTAGAAATGTAATTAAAAATATGAAATATAAAAATGCAAAATACTTGTGGCTTCAAAATTGAATGGAATATCTTTTGTAAGGAAAGAAATTTAGCAAGAGGGATGTACTTCTTTACACCTTTTAGAATAAAACCCTCTTGGGTTCTCTTTCATATCACTATGCATATAAAACCTCCACTTGGTTTCTTTGATACCCAAAATTGGTACATCACTACCATCTTTTCTCCCCCTTTTGTCTTTTGCTTCCAACTTCCATGAGGCCTACCAGGAAGATGACTACTTCTTGCAATGGAAAAGAGCTTGGTGAGCTAAGAAGAGGACCATGGACACTTGACGAAGACAATCTTCTCGTTCATTACATCACATGTCACGGCGAAGGACGATGGAATTCTCTGGCAAAATCGTCAGGTAACTGGGAGAGAATATAACAAAGGAGATTGCTTTTTGCGTGTCTGTAGTTTGAGCTGTTTCGCAATTTCGCTTTTGAACTTCTTTGTTGGTTTTTTTTTGGGTTTCTTTTTACAGGATTAAAGAGGACAGGAAAGAGTTGTAGGTTAAGATGGTTGAATTATCTAAAACCAGACGTCAAGCATGGAAATCTTACACCACAAGAACAGCTTTTGATCCTTGAACTCCATTCCAAGTGGGGTAATAGGTGAGTTTATGCATACAACCACGCACGAATAAATATCTATGCAGTTACTTATTTTAAAAAATTTAGTAACATAAACGTGTTCTTTAAGCATGAGCGAAGAATTTTTATGCAATATTTCAATGGTTTTTAAATAACTTTTGCTCTATTCAAAAGGAGTATGTGTTTGTGTATTATTGTAAACCATTTCAAACTTAATATCAAATTCTAAAATTATCTATGAATTTGTTCAAGATGGTCAAAAATTGCACAACACTTGCCCGGAAGAACAGATAATGAGATCAAGAACTACTGGAGAACAAAGGTACAAAAGCAAGCTCGCCACCTTAAGATCGACCCCAGTAGCAACAGATTTGTCGAGGTTCTCCGACAGTTTTGGTTACCAAGATTGCTTGAAAAAGTGGAACATAGTTCGCCATCATCATTGTCTACTTCTACCTCAACCATGGAAGCTGATCAAAAGAACCTAATCCCACAACCACAAGGCAAAGAAACCCCAACGGAAAATATGAATTCAAGCTCAAGCAATTGTTCATCAGATTCCACAGGAATTATGTTGCCATATCTTTCTGAAAACTCGCTCAAAAACAACAACTACTTTGTGGAGAACAGTAACTTTGAAGTGATGAGTTTCAACCAGTCAAACACACAAGATTTGAGATCTACTGACATGTCAATCCTAGACTTCCAGCTAACGGATGTGGACTGGATGAACAACGACTTAGTAGGCGACACTTTTTGGAGCATGGATGAATTGTGGCAGTTCAGGAAATAATATGATCCTGGTATATATATTTTTTTCAAACCAACAAAAACGGTTTAACTCATGTTTTTGGAACGTCATCGTTTATAAACATTTCATATACCATTAAAGCTAATCATTTAGAAGTTATTGAATGTGCTAGCTAGTGATATTTTTGTATGAGGTGTTGAAACTTAGCTAAATGGGGTTTGCTAAGATAATGTACCCCAAAGTGTCAAATCTTAGAAGGAAAAATAAAAGGGTAAAAGATAAGTATATCATACCCTTCAATAACTTCTAGAAAGTTATAACTGATATCTAATAATCATTCTACTTTTTTTTATCTGGTATCAAATATATTACTATTAAATATAATAGTTATATAATGTCGTTATACTGATATAGTAACTAGTTTGTTAAAAGCGACAAGAATTTTCTTTTATTCTATTTATTTTAGTATTCTAATTAGATTGCTTTGTTATATAATGACAATAAAGACCTACTGCACGGTAAATAAACATTCAACTGTTGGTTTGTTCAGTCAGGTTTGTTAGAAACGGTTGGAAATAATTTAGATCTTGAATTAAATCTTGTACTTGTATAAAATGTTGATGGAAAACCTTTTCGATGAGGTCTTCTACGAAAGATATTCCATGGAAAGCAATACCTAATTCGCCGTAGGTTCTGGTTACAGGATTTATTGATTTCAATTTCTTGACAAAAAAAATAACGTTGGTCTATCACATAAGAAACCGCAATAGACCATTCAAAATTATATCTATAATTGAAATTATGACACTAGAATGAAAATGGGTTTATAGGACGTTAAAGAGTTGTAAATGTTTCAATAGATTGCTTTATATGGGACCAAACGATAAAGCGTCGTATCTAAGAATGTGGCAATAAGTTTAGAGGATGCTTTTAGACGTCTTAACAAGGTTTTTAAGATATTAAAATAAAGAGTTTGTATTAGTTATTTTACATGATACTTTTGAGAAATGTTCTACAAACAAATATTTTTACAAGACGCTTTTTCGAATAGAGTTGAAACAAGTTTATAAGACTCTTTTTGACGTCTTAACAAATTCTTTAGGACATCTTTTTCATAAATAAAATGTCGTATTAATTATTTTATAGAACACTACATGAAAAAAGATCTTATAGAATCAAGTGTCCTATAAGATGTGTTTATCGAACATTTCTCAAAAGTGCCCTATAAAACAGTTACTATGACGTTTTAATACATCTTTTAGACATTGTTAGCATCATAAACCCAATCTTACTGTAATATGATATTAGTTTACTTACACTACGTTAAAAAAATGAATTTTCCAGGAACAATCATTTCAACAACATATACGTGTTCTTTTCTAAATCTCATCTTTTGTAAATTCTATAACGATCAATTGACCATGACTTATATTTCATTTTCTACTTTAATTTATTTTTATTTTGTTTAAAAAAAATCTTTTGCTTCGCTCATAAGAAAACCGCTACTTTTCCATCTAAGACGTCACATACAAACCAACAACGTATGTCACACATAGGAACACGCTACGTAAGTTGGTGATAAGAAACACAAGAAAAAACACTTTCCAAAACTTGAAAGGCCCAAATTTGATGCTAAGGACGTTTTACCATACACTTATTGAGTAAACACTTACCGGCTAGAATCTCCACCATCATTTACCTTATCAAGTAACATCTCGACCATTAAAATGGATTAATCGTTAGCCTCATAAGAGTCTGCTCTATCACTTATCAGGTAAGATTCCAGGTCATTAGCATGCTCACCTGTTAAGACAAGTGACCCGATAACGTTTGGTAAACAACCCTTAAGTTGTAATTGGAATTAGAAATCAACGTAACATGATGATTGCTTTTGAATTTAACGGGAACAAGATTTAAATAAGAACAAATTATAAATGAAATCAATCGTAATCAAAAAGCTCATGTGATGAGATGGGTTTGATTGGTAAATGTTATGTGTTTTGGAATTGGAAAAGATTGTAGTGAAGAAGATGATAGTGACCAAGTGAAAGTTCAAGAAAGATTTCAATAATTGATACACAATTCCATATCAATATTAGTTGTATACCAATATAATAGAAAATTAATGTAATTTTTTATTTAAAAAATCAAAATTTATGTTTATATAAAATATAAATTATAATTATACACAGTTGTATAAAAAGATGTCTAAATATTCTACGGTAATTTTGATTTTGGAAACACAGGTAAAAAATTTAGGACCCTTCAAATACTATTTGAGTCTATGTTCAAACCAAACGAACCTACCTCCTATTTGAACCAGGTTGGAAAGAACCTCCGTCAAGTTTAGATAAGAGAATGCTTCCCCCAACCATTAAAGGAAAGGCTCGGTGAAGGGAGGGAGATTTTCATTCTTTTTCATCGAAAACGATGAAGGCCGAGGTCGTCAGCTCGTGTTGTGAGATGTGAAAAATCATTGCAATCACATAAACTAATATATCAAGTCATTTTAGAGCAACTCTAACTAGATTCTTAAAATTAGCACAATTTCCTCCGACACATTCTCTTTTAGTTTTTAAAATAGAGAAACTTTCAAGTTTGAATTCTCTAAAATTTGACTTGTGTGGAGAGAGAAATTAATTTTTTATTCGTTCCGACCAATGAGATTGTATTATTATTATTATTATTATTATTATTTTATATAACGTTTTTTTTTAAAATTGTAATGCAGTGATAAATTTATATACATAGGGCTTAGTTCTCATGGGAAAAGAAGTTACGGTGAGAAACGTAAAAGATCTCCACCATTAGATCAATCCTAATTGAAATGTCAACACTAATGAGGTGCACCGAAATGCAACAAATCAATTCCCTTTTAAAGGCGCATTTCATGGGCGAGCATGAAATTGAAAGTGATATATAGTTCAGATTTCTTCTTACGCTTTTCACTATAATCTCCCTTCTCACACGATCTTTCGCCAATACACACACACACACACTAGAAGGATCATCGTGCAATGCACCAAGATATATCATGATTTAAATGTTTCATTTTATTTTTTTGGTCTCTGTCGATGATATGATACGAATTTATCTGCTTTTTTGTGCAAACAATAATTTTTTTCTTAATAAAATATATATTTGAAGATATCATAAAAGTTAAAAAATATATATATAAAAATTCTCATTGTTTTGTGTAATTTCTTTAATTCAATTTTTTATTTTATAATTTAATTTAGGTTTAATGACGAAGTAATTTTTTTTTTGTTTAATAATATAATTCTTATGAAGATATTAACTAAGTATTCGGTTAGAACTCAATAATTATCCTAATTATATTTTAGATATATTTAAATAAAAAAATTATTTCGTATTTAATTATATTTATCACAGTTAGTTACATGAATTCAAACATAGAGCTTAATAAGTTGTACTACCGCATAATTTACTTGTAATCTTGAATTTTAAGTAATATACATCAATAATGAGTACGTCATATATAAAAAATGGTTTTTAAGAGTTTTTGTCAAATGTTTTATAATATAGTATAGATATATAATTGATTTTGAAATGTCTAAAATAGAAAATTTATAAGAGTTAAATGTAATTTTTTTTGTTGACATTTTGACTTTTGATTCTCCATTTCAGACAAATTATAGAGAATTTGTTAGAGATGTTCTCATATTACAAGAAAAATTTCCAAATATTTAACTCATCTTTCTACACTAACAAAATAATAAGAAAAACAAATCGAATATTTAAAATGCATGTAATTAATGTCCTTTCGAACTAAAATTTTGGACTCTTTTCATAGACATGAAACTCACTCCAACTTTTGTTAGTGTAGGATACAATTTCAACCAATGGATTTAGAAATCTTTTGGAGATGATTGTAATTTCAAATCCAAATCTCATGGATTTCAATTGTTCCCATCACATCTCTATCCTGACTCTTTCATCAGATCCGTCATAATCTCCCCAACGCCTCTAAACAAACAAATATATACAAAAAATTTAAATTCATATCATATCCTATGGATCAAATGTGATAACGGGGTTTATTGGTTATAAAGTTCAGGGTTGTTTTTAAATAAGGTGGTAAGTTGAGGGGTTTATTGTGATTATGTGTTTAAATTGTTTTAAAATCACCACCGACTCTTAATTCTTTATGATTAATAGTACGAGAGAATTGTTTTTATCTCATTGGGATGTGGAAAAGCAAGTAAGAAAGAAAAGTTGATAAAAACTTTTGTGTGTATTCTCTTGAGTGTGAAGCAAAACAGTAACCGAAGGAAGAACCAAAGAAGAGTATGATCTTTTGTGTTCTTGACTAAAATATGTTGTTGTTTATCATTTGCACGTCTCTGTGAATTCAAGGTGAGTTTTAATTTGAAAACATCATTTATTATGTTTTTTGGTAAAGAAACCGTAAGGCTTCATAAATGTGCATGTGTAATGCTATGTGCTATTTATTTAGCATAAATTTTGGGTTTTGATATGATTTTATCATCTGATTGTAATAAAGGTGACATAATCAGGAGATGAGTATATTTTGTAGTAAGGATGACATAATCAGAAGATGAATATATTTGTAATAAATGTGGCATACTCAAGATATGGGTATATTTTGTAATAAGGGTGGCAAAATCAGGAACTGCGTATATTGGGATAAGAGTGGCACAATCAAATTCTGAAAAATGATGATCTTTTGATCATGGGATACTATTATCGTATCTATATGATGCGATGAAATTGATTTTATCGCATAGATGTGATGCAATGAAATTGGGATAAAATTGAACTGTTGGTTATCGCATCCTTGTGATGCGACATGTTGAGTTTATCGCATCTATGGTGTGACAAGTTACTATTATCGCATCTTTATGGTGCGACAAGATGTGTTTATCACATCTGTTGGATGCAATGAGTTGGGGCAAGGATGCCACAAAGAAAGTTTTCACATACAAGTGATATGACAAATTCGGATTATCGATCAATGAGGTGCAATAAGATTGATGTATTTTTATATTTGATGCAACAAGTTTATGTACAATACGATAAATGAGTTACTTTATTGTATTGATGCAATAAATGGGTGTTGTCTAATCATTTTGATGCGACAAAAAGATGTTTATTTGATAAAATATTGTTTATTTGTTATTTATACAAATATGGATATAGC